TCCAGGTTTTCTTAAATCAGAAGCTCAGCTACCACCAAGGAATCGGGCTCTTGGACAGCAGCTTTGCCCACACACTAACTCCTTTTACAGTGGCGGAATGGTGGCACAAAGATGTCAAGTGTCACCTGGAGACAACACACTTACAGCTGAAGAAAAGACCACCTCTCTTGAAGTTTCTCCTTTCCAAATGCAGAGAATAGTTCCTAAAGGGTCTCTAAAAGAGACCATAATGTCTCATTGGTTAGAAACAGGCTATGGGCCCATCATAAAGTGAACTCCTCTGGGAGAATGGGGCATCCTTTTCTGTATCCCATGCACAGGAGGAGGGCCAAGGAAGAATAATCCGGGAAACCCAGAATCCAATAAGGAAGGAGGTTTCAGAATAGAATGAATAGTAGACTGACAAACTAATTGTCTGTATCTACATCTTCCCAGACTGCAACAAGGACCTCCAAACTGTGCCCTAGGTTCTAGAGTTTCTCTGTACCTATCCATTCCGTACACTTTCATAAACAATTGGTGTGATAAAACTTTATAGTGTAGTCGAGCAGTGGTGGTGCACACCTTTAATTCCAGCACTTATGATGCAGAGACAGGTGGATCTCTGAGTTCAAAGCCAGCCAGATCTACAGAGCGAGTTTCAGGACAGATATTGAGGCTACAGAGAAACCCTGCCTCAAAAAATCAAAATAAAATAAAATTTTGTAGTATTATCGAAACAGTGAAAAATGACTTTGGAAGTTAAAGAAATCATTTTTACTGACATTTTCAACAGCACAGATTAATCTTAGACATTATGCTTACAAAACAAAGTTAACAAAATCAGGCATATACTATAACATTCATGTGATTTCAGCAAATGTAAACTCAAATGTACAGTAACATAAAACAAGGCAGTTTAAATGCAGACGGGAGTCACACAGGAGTGAGAGAGATATAAAATGGCCTAACAGCAGTGATGATACACCCATGACCGAAATTGTAGTAATGGCATCACATGTGCATACGTGTTAAATGTTTGTGGTGGTTTGGATAAGAATGGTCCCCAAAGGCTATATATTTAAATGCTTAGCACCAGAAGACAGCATTATAAGAAAGGGTTAAGAGATATGGGCTTGGTTAAGAGGTACGGCCTTGTTGGAGAAAGTGTGTCACTGGGCGTGGACTCTGAAGTTTCAAAAGCCCATGCCAAGCCCAGGGTCTCCCTATTCTCAAGCTGCAGATCAGGATGGAGTCATAGCTACTGCTCCACTGCCAAGCTTGCTGCCATGACGATAACAGACTACTGTAACTGTAAGCAAGCCCCCAATTAAATGCTTTCTTTTATAAGAGTTGACTTGGTCATGGTGGCTCTTCACAGTCATTGCCGACCAATGATTAAGACATGTTTTTCAAAACTGTTTTCAAGTTGTATAATTCACATGTATTCAGTACTCTATTTTTACACAAAGTTGTTGAGATAAAATTGTTTACATAAAACGACTCATTATTTTAGAAAACCAATCAACCATATATTAACTGTCTTCCACGACTAAATACTGAGAAGATCAGCTATAGTTCCTTGGTAGTAAAAGTAGGAAAGTAAAGAAGGCATGCTCATCCAAACACTGGTTGAATAACTAAAAACCCAATGCTGGGTCTTTTTTTCTGTGCTAGACTTCCTGCCCCTGTAGTGATAACTACAGTGTCAGTAGCTCTGGCAGTGGCCGCAGGAGATGAAATGCCATATGGCTCACACTACTGCCTTCCATGCATAGTACTTCTGGACTATTTATATTTCTCTAGGATTTTGCTTTTGAATACTGATGATGGACTGATGATATGCCATGTATGCATATGATGTAAGCAATCTACCCCTGAGCTATATTCCTTCCAACCTTTTATGAAAAATCTAAGTGACTTTAGTTTTATTTTTGAAAGTTTTTTTCCCCTAAAGATATAGTCAATTCTATTTTAGGATTCTGAAGTAAAATATTTACTAGAGTTAGTTAATACTAAGTGTCATGACTTAATTTTTAAAATGGCTTATTTTGCTGTACACGTGTGTTGCTGTGTGGCCATATGTACTTAAGAGCAGTGCCCAGAGGATACCAGAAACTGGGTTAGATATCCTAGAGATGGAGCTATAGACTGCTGTGAGCCATCCAAACTAAGTGCTAGGAACTGAACTTCAAACCTCTGCCTCCTCTTAGCCACTGAGCAATATCTTCAGTCTCTGGCTTAAACTTTTTAAAGGAAAAAAGTAGAATTTTTAATTTTTCATGAATTAAAACACTGTAAAAAAAAGACAAAATTCTATCTTTCAAAAAACAGACTGTTTCAATTAAATTTCCCACATAAACACTGTTGGATATGGGCATCAGTTTTGGGATGGCAGAGCCCATGACTTCTGGACAGGTTCAAGATTACTTTTCAGGTATTGAGGGAATGTGGTGGTTTGACTAGGAATGGCCCCCATAGGCTCATATATTTGAATACTTGGTCATTAGGGAAGGCATGACCTTGTTGGAGTAGGTGTGGCCTACTGGAGTTAGTGTGTCACCGACAGTAGGTTTTGGGGTTTCAAATGCTCAAGTCATGCTTAGTGTCTCTCTTCCTGCTACCTGATGATTGGATGTCAAACTCTCAGCTACCTCTCCAGCACTATGTCTGCCTGTGTGCTGCCATGCCTTCTGCCACAACAATAATGAACCAAAGCTCTGAATGCAAGCAAGTCTCAACTAAATGCTTTCCTTTATAAGAGTTGTGTGCTCATGGTATCTCTTCACATCAATAGAACACTTGACCAAGACAGGGATTGTTCCATAGTCCCTAAGATGTCATACTCACTATCCCCTCACTGGGGTGGACTCAGAAAACCTATGGAAAGACTGAAAGCCAGCAGCCAGGTCACACAGTTGGTCCTACCAAACTCCACAAAGTTTCCCGAAAAAGGTGTAGGTGACAATACCAATGAGGCCAAGTTAGATGTTCAACTATTATCTGTCACCTTGCTGTAGTATCTAAGACAAAAGGTGTCCCTTCCAGCACGGTGAAAAAGATCAATTTTTTTTTTCTGAATCAATCTCACATATTAAAAAGAACAGTTTAAAAGTTTTGGTAGGAAACAGATAATTGTATTAAGTCATTGCATCAACCAGAACAATAAAAGCCAGAAAGTTCCAAGGCTGGATAGTTTGGAGCCTCAAAAAATCCATCCCAGGACACACAAAGTCAAGCAACTACAAAGATAAAACCCTTTGGAAACATGCAGCAGATCCCAGATCAAAGATTTCTTTCAGAAGCTGTGTCATCTATACACCAAAGCAATCAGGAGGGAAGGAGGACCTCCAGTGAACCGAGATCACGCAATTCCTTCCACGGAATCAGGAGAAAGCATAAATCTCCCTTCCCTGGGTACTTTGGGATGACTGATGTAAACTGTGGAACTGATTGCTGGTAGAAGTCAAATGTTTTCTGAAAAAAAGAAAACAATAAGAGGTAACAAAATGGCACATATCCTAGGGACACTAGAGCCCCCAAGAGCATTCTGCATACATACAACACTGAAGTAGGACATCTCCCCCAAGCAGACTACCAAGCGTACGAAGTTCAACTTCCGGTTCCTGGCTCAGGAAAGCTATGACTGCTGCTAACTATTTTCTTGTGATTCATGAGATGTCAAACAAAGCATGTACTTTCCAAACTCTAAATTTCCCTCTCCACTGTGAAATCTCTGATATTAAATGGACTTGAAAGAAACTCAAAGGCCACCCAAAGTCCTATACTCCTAGGTCACTTATTCAATATGAACTTTAAGCAATAAGCACATTGAAAACATCTCCAGACTTTCCGACGTTGGTGAATTAGACCTTCCTGCTGTGTGAAATCTCCGATGTGCGAGTCTGAAGTGACCACTGAGCATTTTCCAGTCATGTAATTCAGAATTCCCCCACAAGGCCTCTCTCATGTGAGTGAGGTGGAGCACACTGACTTGGGTTTTCTTTCACTTACTGGGGTTTTCTTTCACTTACTGCACATAAGGCTTTCCTTCGCCATGAAACCCTTATGTGCATTTCTGTGGTGTTGCTTTCTTTTCTCATATTTAACAATGGAAGTTGTAAAGGTAAAGCTTTCACTAGGACTTCTGCATACCTGAGAACTTCCTCCACTGTGATGTTAGAGGAGCCTGACAGGTATGTAGGTGCAACAGAAGGATTTCCTGTACCCATCACACTTAGAAGTGAAATCTCAGGGGTGTAAGAAGGCCGGAGATGTGGTCAAATAATCTTTTGTAACACATATACATGCAGGCTTTTGTGAAATTAGTAGTGATGAATAAATCTATTTTTGTGAGTGAAAATTATTCCACATTTGTCCAGTGTAAAAGGACTCTCACATTTAGTGCTTCTAGATAGTTTCAGGTCAGGTTCTCCAGGAACTCCTCTGACATGTGGGACTACACGTTTCCACATATGAAGGAATGTCCTTCCTTTCCCCTTCTAAAGGATGTCTCATTACTCTACAGCAAACCTAACAATGTCTCCTACATATTAAACATTTTATACAGTCACTGACTGTGTATGGTCACAAAATTTATTTTATTGCTAACAATGTTACAGAGGTAGGCTTCCAGAATTAAGAATCTGTTTAAGAGTTTACTATGCTCTGCCCACTGAGGCAAGCTTACCTGTCTGCCTTTCTCTCTACCCACCATTCTTCTGAAGAGGCATCTCTCTGTCTCTCTCCTTCTCCTTCTTTTCTTTCTTTTCTCTCTCTCCTCTTCCCCTTCTGTCTCTCCCTCTCTCTCATACCCTTATACCCTCCCAATATCCGCTAAATAAACTCTCCACCGCCCCCCTAAAAAATGTCTACTACGCCACTGTCACAGAAACGCCCTGCTTACAAGGCCCATCTTCATCCTCCACACCAACATCCTAAAGCAAGCTTAAACCTTCACAACCAACCTCTTGACTAAAGCTTTAACAAGTAATCCCTATGGGCATCTGTCACCCTGGTACCTGGGAAGGACTTGGAAATAGGAAGTCCCACTGAGAGCAAAAGCGAGAAGGTCTCCAGCATCACGTTATGGTACAGGAGCTTCTGAGCGTCACTGAGGAGTTCCCACTCCTCCTCAGTGAAATACAGGCACACATCTTCCAAGCTCACACAGCTCTGGCCTTGGTTGACTGGGGCCTCCGCCATGGGGAATTCTGGGGTTGCAGAAGGTTGGAAGGTCATAGGCTCGGAGGCCTAAAATCTCACTAGGGCCTCAACCGCTGTAGGAAAAAAAAAAAAAAACACAGACAAAAACACGTCACTGGATAAACACAGCACTGTAACTCTGGGAGACACAATAAACGTCAGCAAAGAGCTTCACTGAGGCTGCAAGGTACACACGGAGGACCCACCTGAGGGGTAGACTGAGTCAGCTCACCACCAGACACGGCAGACGTCACACACCGAACAACCACGGCACACACTTCCGGAATCTGGAAAAGTCCCCACTTTAACGGACATCCTGTGATGACGCTACCGGAAGTCCCGCCCCCTTTCTGCCTTAGCGCGTGTTAAACGGGGAGGGGGGACAGGGGGAAGGCGGCAGAAGTCTTTACAATGCAGACTTTAGTCGGGAAGGACGATTGGAGTCTTTAAAAAGCACAAAGGTCTCTGCTTCATTCTCATCCAGTCAGATATCCCCATTCAAAACTGTTGTCCTGCTTCGTGTTTAACCATGGCGGAATTGCCGCCTTAGTTTTAATTATTGGTTATCCGAGACGTTGAGAGTCATAATCCTACCTCTTGCAAGTAATATTTCATACTTTACAAATATCACAAACCATCTATTTCTTTTTTACTTGTTTGTTTTTGGTTATTCAAGACAGGGTTTCTCTGTAGTTTTGGAGTCTGTCCTGGAACTAGCTCTTGTAGACCAGGCTGTCTACCTTTCTTAAAATCCTCATTTAATTGCAGTGGCCGAAACCTTTAGGATGCTGTTCATTAATATGGAGACTCTGAGGTGTTTTCTATTTCTTGCTTTCATTGATTGTATAAGTAAGTTGGGGACTAAGTGTGGTATTTCCATTCACACAGGGGCATTTAAAAAATTCCTGCATTATTCTAGAACTTTACTATAGGTATCTGTTATGTTTATGAAAATTATATTGAAGATTTATTACTTGTAAGCAAGGTCTCACTCTGTAGCCCAAGTTAGACTCTAACTCATGGCAATCCTTCTATCTCAGCCTCCTAAGTGCAGGTTAATGGTGTGAGACACTCAAACCAGGGTGGGAAGAATTTTTAAAATGATAATTACTTGCCTGAAACTTTGAATAGTACGTTTGTAATGTTCTGTCTCTTTAAGACAAGCCACGCCCACTCCCTTCCTGCTTACAGCCTTAGCACCTCTCTGTCTTCCTGTCCGTCTCTCTCGAAGAGGCCTCTCCCCACTTCTCCGGTTCCCACCCTTCTCTCTCTCTCTCTCTCTCTCTCTCTCTCTCTCTCTCTCTTTCTCTTTCCCCTTCTTTTCCCTTTTCCCTCCCCCTCCATAAACCACTAAATAAATGTCCAACTCCACTCTGTATGATGTGCCTATCTGTCTGCCTCCCATCCACCTCCTGCCCAGGGACCAGCCAGCCACCCACATGGCTTGCTGGGGACCAGCCACCTTCCTGACGAGTGGTCGTGTGCCATCCCTGCTTGGGACTGGTTGCTTTCAGGACCCTGGCTGCTTGCAGCAAATCCATTTCAACATTGTCATCAGTTCAGTTGATTATGTTCTTCTTATTTTAGATGTCATTTTGTTAAATGTATAGAATAATGGGTTTCATTGGCAGTTCCATCCATGTGTATATTATGATGTACTTTGAACCTCCACCTCCATCACAATCTTTTATACCTGTGTTAGTGTTCTATTTCTGTGAAGAGACACCATGAACGTAAGTCTTATAAAAGGAAGCATTTAATTGGGCTTGCTTACAGTTTCAGAGGTTTAGTCCACTGCTGTTATAGCAGGGAACATGATAGGAAATAGACAGACATAGTGCTAGAGAAGAATCTGAAAGTCCTATATCCAGATGCACAGGCAGCAGGAAGAGAAGACCAATGGGACTGGCTTGGGTTTTTGACACCCCAAAGCCCACTCACTCTGACACATTTCCTCCAACAAGGCCACACCTCTTTCAACAAGGCGTTCCCTCCTAATCACAGGTAAGTAGCAGTACTCCCTAATGACCAGTCATTCAAATATATAAGCCCATCAGACCATTGCTATCCAAACCATCACAGTCTCCTACCACCTTGGTTCCTTTACTCTTCCCAAATAGTCCCCCTTCTACTTCCGTGTCTTTTTATTATTCCTTTTTAACCTAGATTCTGCATGTGAGAGCAAATGTGGTATTTGTCTTTCCATTTTTGCTTATTTGTCTTGAGATGATGGTTTCCATTTCAACAAATGTTCCTGCAAACTGCATAATCTTATTCTTTTTTTTTTAATGATGGAGTAAAACTCTGTATCTAAACTGTGCCTGTTGTGTACTGAGATTCAAGGCTGCAGTGAAATCGTGTGATTCAGATGGACAAGCACTGCCAGAAACACCTCATATATATTGCTGATGTGGTTTTGAAATGATTTTCGTTTGAGGGTTCTGAAAGTTTCACTGTTGTCAAGCTCTTTCGCCACAGCCACATCTAGTTATGTGACCCTGCAGTTGAAGCTGTGTTCTGTTCTCTTCCATGGGTTTCTCTGTATGTTTTGTGTCAGCACCACTATGTCTGTTCTGCTTTTATTTCTGTAGATCAGCAGTATAATTTAAAATTATGCATTTTAATACTACAAGTATTAATTGGGTTATTTACTGTCCTCCATATAAACTGCAATCTTCCCTATTTCTGTAAAGAAGGACATTCGATTTTAATTGGATTGCATGAATTTGTTCATTGCTCTTCATGATATAATCATTTTCACATGAGCCTTTCCGTTCTCTAGGGTCTTCTTTAATTTCTTTCTTCATCATTTTGAAGTTGTTCTTGTAAAATCCTTTCATATTTTTATTTATTCCTTGGTATTTTTTTGAATGTGTGTTTGTGTATGTGTTGTGTTGGAACCTCCTTAATGATTTTCTCCAAAACTTATTATGTAGGAAATATAGGAACGCTGCTGAATTTTATATGTTGATTTCATGTCCTGATGTTTGATGAATGGGTTTATCAGATCTAAAAGTCTTTGGATAGTGTGTTTAGGGTCTTTTAAGCATAAGATTGTGACATCTACAAATAGGGATAGCATTAGTTCTTCTTTCTTTTCTATACCCATTTTTCTTGTTTTTTTCTTGCTGCTGTATTGTTCTGGCTGAGTTTTCAAACAGTAAATTGAATGACTATAGAGAGGCAGACACCTTGCTTTATTCCTAACTTCTGAGGAAACATTTCTGTTTTTTTTTTTCCCAGGGATTTCATTATGAAAGGACATTTAATGTTGTCAAATGCTTTTTCTGCATCTATTGAGATGATTATATGATTTCCCCATGATTTTATATATATATATATGTGTGTGTGTGTGTGTATACATATATATGCTTTATTACATTTATTTATTTGTATGTTCCTTTCTCTCTGTCATGGAAACATCTAGATAATGTTACATCAAGTTCTTAATGTGTGCTAATTGAATTTGGCTTGCAAATATTTTATTGAAGTTTTCCCTCTATATTCATTTAAGAATTTGGACTAGCCGGGTGGTGGTGGTGCATGCCATTAATCCCAGCACTCGGGAGGCAGAGGCAGGTGGATCTCTGTGAGTTTGAGGCCAGCCTGGTCTACAAGAACTTGTTCCAGGACAGGCTCCAAAGCTACAGAGAAACTCTGTCTTGAAAAAACAAAACAAAACAAAAGAATTTAGACTGGAGGTTTGTTTTGTTTTGTTGTATCTTTATTTGGTTTGGGTAATATTGGGTTGGTGAATTGAGTTTGTAAGTATTCCTTCTCTTTCTGTCTTATGGAATAGTTTGCAGAGTCTGGATGATCTTCTATGGAGTTAAAGGTGAATTCAGCAGTGGAATCATCTACCTGACCATAGACTTTTGACTTTTTTTGTTGAGAGATAATTATTGCTTCAAATTCATTGCTCATTCAAGATTTGCTTAGGTTTTCTATATCTTCTTTGTTCAATTTTGGAAGGTCACATGTGTTTTGAAAATTTTTTCCAGTTTATTGGTGTGTGTGTTTTCAAGACTCCTTTGTTTAATATTGGTGTAAAGTTTTTCTTAATGATCTTCTGGATTCCAATAGTATCTGTCATAATACCTCCTTTGTTTGTAAGGTAGATCTCCACTCTTTTTGTTTTGGTGACTATGGCTAAGAGTCTCATTAGTCAGCAGCCGTCTCTTGTGAGCTCAATGCCCAGTATTTGCTATGTAAAAAAAGCAACCTCTTTAACAGCTTTGATCAAACAAATCAAATAAAACAAAATGAAATTTTAATTAATTAATGTAAGGCAATAAAAATCAATTAGAGACTATTGCTGTGCCACATATAAAAGAAAATAAAGTGACAAAAAGAATATAGCATGACCTATGAATTTAGTTAGTTAGGTTTAAAGTAACAGTTATAAAAGTTGGGGCTGAAGGTGAAGAAATAAGGTTAAGAAAAAGAAAAAGAATGTGAGGGGCAAAAGACAAGGTTTAAAATATGTGATTACAAAAGAAAACAAATACCTTCATAGAATTACATGAAAGTACAAAGGAATAAAAAATGCAAAATGTTAAATAGACACAGAAAAAAGGGAACTGAAAAACTCCCAATATAGGTATAACTATCTTTGAAATTTCTGGCTTTGTGGAAAAGTCTGCTGGATACAATGGGCCTGTAGGCTGAAGATGGATGCTCCAACAGTACAGAAGAACTTTGGGTGACTGTCCAGGTAGCGAGATGTCTCTGTCAATTCTAGAGTTTTAAAAGTTGCTTACAATGAATTTATTGTTTACTTAGGTAATATTAAATTCTTCTGGAGTCTTTGTTGGAGTTAAAAAAATTTATAGTTTTCCTTAGTTGTGATAAAAGATAAAGTATATATAAACATTGTAACTATAATTCTTGCTTGATACAAGTATCAATAACATAGTAATTTTACTATGTTGAAGTTAAAACTTTCCTTTTTATTTAAACAGAAAAGAAGAAATGATGTGGGAGGCCCTTCTGTCAATGTGTTGCTTTTATTGGTTAATGAATAAAGAAACTGTCTTGGCCTGTTGATAGGACAGAACTTAGGTAGGCAGGGAAGATGAAACTGAATGCTGGAAAAAAGAAGGGCAGAGTCAGACAGAAGCCATAGAACCACCAGAAACAGATGCTGGGAATTTTACCCAGTAAGCTACAGTCACATGGCAATACACAGATTAATAGAAATGGGTTAAATTCATATGTAAGAGCTAGCCAATAAGAAGCTAGAGCTAATGGGCCAAGCAGTGATTTAATTAATACAGTTTCTGTGTGATTGTTTTGGGTCTAAGCTAGCTGGGCGGCTGGGAACCAACAAGCAGGCCCTGCCCCCTGCAACAAAAACCAATACTGAAAATAAAATAAAAAGAAAGCAGTTTATTTTTAAATCAAGCAGTTAGACCAGATCTTTTCTGAATCATCTGATGTTTGAATCCACCAGCTGTAGTGCAGCTGTATGGATAGCATTGGCGGAGTCTGTTATAGCTCTGAAGGTGTTTGAATCTACCAGCTCTAGTACAACTATACTGGGTAGTACCTGGGGAGTCTGTTATAACTCTAAAGGGAGTTCCTGGGTATAAGCAAGTTGTGGGAGAAAACTGAGCATTGAGTTTTTTAATGGAGAAACCAAAGAAACCTGTCATTTTGCTTTCTGGTTTCAGTTGTCTGGATCCCATTTAGCAGCAAACTTTGTTAGAGAGGAGTCTCGGGAGTTCTAACCAACCCCTGGTACTGGGCTTATAGCTTTCAGGCCTGTATAGCAATAAACTGTATGTAGCAGTGAGATACCTCTGGAGGCCAAGCAATCTGACAGCGGCCAACTCAGAGATCTTAGTCTCTGTAGCAATCCACAGGGGATGGACCTCATTTCTTACCGTAAAGATGGGGGCTACCACCACCTGTTCTATAGCTCAAGCTCTTGGCTGCTTAACTTTCTTGGGGAGTCCAGGTATAACCCTTCCCAATTACAGTAGCCAATCACACTACTGTGTCTGTGATGGGGGAACCCACAAATTGTGATTGTTTCTTATTTTCAGGACCCTATAAAGTTCAGTTACAAACAATAAACCCTCTCTGAAGACAATGTTTGTCTGTTGCATTCAGAGACACAAGAAGCAACTCAATGGATTTCTTCTCCAGTGTTGGCTTGCTACTCAGAAGAGTCATTGTTGTGTTGACAATGGCTTCTGTCTGGCCTGATCCTGCAGTCATTCAGTCCCAAAGAAACACACAGGTCTACATTAATTATAATCTGGTTTGCTTATTAGCTCAGGCTTCTTAATTAATTATTAATTAATTCTTACATCTTAAATTAGCCCATAATTCTTGTCTATGTTAGCCATGTGACTTGGTACCTTTATCAGTGAGGCATTCTCATCTAACTTCCTCTACATCTGGGTGACAACTGCAAACTGACCTTTCCTCTTCCCAGAATTCTCCTGTTCTCTTCACCTTGCCTATACTTTCTGCCTGGCTACTGGCCAATCAGCATTTGGGGGAGAGTTTGGGGAAGTGGGATGGGTGGGATGGAGGAAGGGTGGATATGGGAGCAGGGAAGTAAAAATCTTAATTAAGGGAGCCATTTTAGGGTTGGCAAGAGACTTGACTCTAGAGGGGTTCCCAGGTCCAAGGAGATGTCCCCAGCTGGTTCCTTGGGCAGCAGAGGAGAGGGCACCTGAACTGACCTTGTCCCACAGCCACACTGATGAATATCTTGCATATCACTATAGAACCTTCATCTGGTGATGGATGGAGATAGAGACAGAGACCCACATTGGAGCACTGGACTGAGCTCCCAAGGTCCAAATGGGGAGCAGAAGGAGGGAGAACATGAGCAAGGAAGTCAGGATCACGAGGAGTGTGTCTACCCACGGAGATGGTGGGACTGATCTAATGGGAGCTCACCAAGGCCAGCTGGACTGGGAGTGATGGAGCATGTGATCAAACCGGACTCTCTGAATGTGACTGTCAATGAAGGCTGACTGAGAAGCCAAGGACTATGGCACTGGGTTTTGATTCTACTGCATGGACTGACTTTGTGGGATCCTAGTCTGTTTGGATGCTCACCTTCCTAGACCTGGAAGCAGGGAGGACCTTGAACTTCCCAGGAGGCAGGGAACCCTGACTGCTCTTAGGACTGGGGAGGGAGGGGGAGGAGGGAGGGAGAAGGAAAAGAGAGGTGGGGAGGAGGTGGAAATTTTTAATAAATAAATTAATTAATAAAAAAGAGTTATGGTTAAGCTTCCGCTTCTCCACCCCTGAAATGAAGGTTGGCGTTGTCTTCTCGACCTTTCTGTTTCTCCATGTTTCTGAGCTGTCCTTTCATTCCTGTTTTCTCTTCTTTCATTCTATATGAGTAAGATAATAATGTTACAACAAGGTTTGAGGGAGCCACATGTTTCAAAATGACATGGATACCCAATCATTTATGAAACAAAAGAATCTATTACTGCTTTGGCATCCTAATATTACTCCTCTTTCCTCTGAATATGGTGATGTGAGATCCCCCTCTGTATGTTGTAAATACCACTGGTTAATGAAGAATCTGCTTTGGGCCTATTGCAGTGCAGAAGTGGCACGGCGGGAATTCTAAGCAGATAGAGGAGGAGAGAGTAAGTGGAGTCAAGAAGAATCCATGTGGCCACTGCAGGAGACAGACATCCGACACTGGACACTGGATGGAACTGGTAGGCCACAACCACGTGGAAATACACAGATTAATAGAAATGGGTTAATTTAAGATGTAAGAGTTAGCTAGAAATAGGCATAAGCTAATAGGCCAAACAGTGTTTTAATTAATATAGTTTCTGTGTGGTTCTTTTGGGTTTGGGTGGCCGGAAATGTAAGAGCAGCCTCGCTTACGATATGCTTTCTTTTTCTATTGTTGTTCTTAGATAGTACTTAATTTTAATAGATTTATGATATTTGACTCAGTGGCAATATTCAGAAGCTAAGATGAATCCAGTTTTATGGCAAAAAAAGTTACATAAAACTTTTAGGTGGAGAACAATGAAGACTGTAGGCAGATTGAAATTTTCCTCCTATTTCAATTTAGACTTCGTCAGTATTTCTCTTATGACTGGACTCTTAATGGCTCACAAATTAGAATGCTTACTTCTGAAGGTTAAGTACAAAAGAGTAAATGATGTTTTTATCTCCTTCATCTCATTTAAAACCTATAAAAATTTACTTTTACTTAAAGTTGCCTTTTAAGAGTGAGTTTTAATATGTCAGGCTTTGCTTAAAAACTCTAAGATACTTTTTATTCAAAAATTCACCTAAAATGTTTTAGGAGGATGCTGTGAATAGAGACAGTCCAAGAAATTTCATTTAGCATTCCAGTGGACTGGAAGAATGCAGTAGTAGGTGCTTATTCATTGTTATGGGAGCTTTGAAGCAGTTTACCTGGTAGAGGCAGACATTTGGAGAGGAAGGGGATTACCATGGAAGAAGTAGGTTATAAGGAAGAGGCAGGTTGTTATGGTACAGTCTTGGGCATAAAACAAGACAGACTTCCAGAAAAGATGCAAAAATAGACTTTGCCCTTTAAATATGTGTGTACACACACACACACACACACACACACACACACACACACACGCTCATATGTAAGAACTGGACAGGATAAGCAGATGGTTTAGAGAATTTCAGTGATGAATGAACAGAAAGGAGTAGTAAATGGAAGTCATTTCCTAAATGATACAAATTTACAAGGTTTGGGCTGGGTTGGTTCTTTTGTTTTGTCTAGTTGTGTGTTTATTTCACACTGGAAACTTTCTTGGGATGTCTGGGAGAGTCTGTTGTCAATTAAATGTTTAACAACAAAACCGTACACAGCTATGCAGAAGCACATGTTTGCCAGCAGATGACTCTCACTGTAGAATAATTGGGACTGGAATCAGTTTGGGTGAAATTGCTAAATGACTAGAAATGGAAATTTCTTCTTAGGTAGCATTCATTTTCTTCACAATGGAATCTCTCTTCTTTTTCTTTGAGAAGTAATTATATTGGAGAAGAGTGGGGAAGAGAGGTTGGGGACTCCTACCATTCACTGTACAGACTTTCCATCTGTCCATGAGTAACATACCACCCTATCTTCTTAGGACCTACCTACCTAATGTCTCCCCACTCAATACCATTTGAAAACAAACCTTATTCTATCTGCTTTTGATGAGTTGCAGAATAATTGTAGATTTTATGTGGAACCAAAATAAAATTTCAGAGATTTATTTAAATAGTTTTTCTGCAATTTACAAAAAGGTTATAATTCCTTCTTACTTACTGTCTCCCCATAATACTTTCCCACTATGTGACACAGAATGACAGAGAAACTATTGCCACGCTATAGAGTAGAATCTAATGAGAGGAGAATGAATCAATAAAGGTCACATTTGAACAACAAGTATATGGAGAAATACAAATTAAATTTAGAAGATTGTGGACATGGACACAGTAAAGCATGTTCAACAAGTTTAATGTTAACAGTTATTTTCACAATTTTTCCAAGCACTTATTGTATATGAAGTCTGCTAACAGGTATTAAATGATTGGTCTTACCACCTGTAAACAGCTTTTAAGTTCTTAAAATGTTCTTAATCCTGAATTTCAGAGAAGGGAAGGAATTTTCAGGAGACAGTAAGAAAAGGAAAGATTATGACCTGTCTATAAATTGTAGCATAAAAGCTAACTCTATGCAAGGTGAAATTGTAAGACATAGAAATAGAAATTGATTCAGTATTTCTTAACAAATAATGGTAATCATTCAACTCAATCTTCCTTTTCGCTTATTAATGCTGTCCAAATCTTTACGGGTCACTTTTCTATAAAGATGAAATGATTAATGCTATTACAAAGCACCTATTAGTGCTATGTGATTTACAACAAGATACAAACTATTGCTACTCTGTGAAGTAGAATTTAATAGGTGTTGTGGTTTGAGAGAAAACTCCCTCAAAGGGAATGGCATAATTTTGAGGTCTGGCCTTGGAGGAAGTGTGTCACTGTGGGGGCAGTCTCTTTCGCTCAAGCTTCCCTCAGTGTGAGTCAGTAGACTTCCTGTTGCCTGCAAGATATAGCATTCTCAGTTCCAGCACCATGCCAGCCTGCATGCCAAATGTAAGTGAACCACCCCAATTAAATGTTTTCCTTATAAGTGTTCCCTTGGTTATGGGAACTCCTTTAAAGAGTACCAGTTCCTCTTGGAAAATAAGAAAAACTGGCATCATGGTATACTTGGAAGAAAACTGGTAGGTAATAGTATATTTGTAGTAGTAAGGAGCACAAGGCTCCTTGTTCCATCCTACCCAGCTAGCTTATACCCGAAATAATCACACAGAAATTGTATCATTTAAATCACTGGCCATTAGCTCTAGTCTCTTATTGGCTAACTCTCACATCTTGATTCAACCCATTTCTAATAACCTGTATGTCACCATAAGGTCATGGCTTACCGGGAGAGATTCTAACCTACGTCTATCTCAGGCCAGAGATTCATGGCTTCTGCCTGTCTGTCCTTCTTCCCAGCACTCTATTCTGTCTACTCCACCCACTTAATTGCTGCCCTATCAAAAGGCCAAGGCAGTGATTAAATTAATACAATTTCTTTGTGGTTATTTCGGGGATTAAGTTAGCCGGGCAGCAGGACACAACCCATTCCTCTTACTACATCTATTGACCAGCTCTGTCACTAGCTTGTCATAGCTAGTGTATGACGTTAGATCCAACTAACACAAACTCTTCTATGTACACTGTAGATGTTTGTGTGTGTTAAATAATGCTATCCCAAATATGTCTACTTTGAATTCCAAAACTTACGAATATTATATCATATGGCATAAAGAACTTTATAATATATTTAGGTTAAGAAAATTTATAAGAGAAACTGTTCTATAGTAATTGAGAGGATCAGTATAGTCGCAATTGTCCTTACAAAAGGTTCCCATAAGGAGTCGGAGTTGGAGGAAGAGGCAGTATGATAAGGGAAGCAGAGACTGGAGGCCTGCAACTTGAAGAGGGAAAGAACTGGGCACAAACCAATACAGACACAGGCAAGAAGCTGAAAAAGGCAAGGAGTCTCCCATCACATCCTCCAGAAGGAATCAGCCTGGTGGACAACTTGACTTCAGCCCAGTGACATGATCTTGGGTATGTGACCTGCAGAACTATAAGAGTGTATGTTGATGGTTTTTTTTTTAGTAGTTTATTATATCAGCAACACAAAATTAATACGAAGTTGAATTCGGCAACTTCTCTGATTCCAAATCCATGTTTCCTATTCAAATTGCTAGTTCACAGTGATGACCTGTTTCTAAGTGGTCTAGACTACAATACTTGGATGTTTTAATGGGTTATTTTTTAAAAAGAACACCTGATAAGACAGTTACTCGGGCATTGCTTGCACAGATTGAGTGCGTCTGAAGGAAAGAAACCAAAGCATGCTTGAGGTTTCAAGAGATGTCTTGTCCTGAAGGCCATCAGGAGGAAGAGAAGAACATCAACTTCCCCTATACTCTGTCCTCAAAACTTCTTCCAACCTCCCCTCTTTGTTTCCTCATCTGTACACCAACCACCTTCCCATCACTTCCCAGACTATCGCGTCTACTTTGATTCCCTGCTTAATATTCTCCAGAAAATGATTTCTTAAATGTGTCCTAAGTTCTAATCAATACAAGCTTTCCTGGAAGCTCTCTTAACCTCCCTGGCCACACTAAATCATGTCTTTCTCTCAAGTATGTCCTTTGCCCTGTTTCCACTTAGACTTCTCCACCCTCATCCTATTTAGTGTTTACACGTCTGTCTCCTCCACCCACCTCCTGTTTGGTGTCTGCACGTCTGTCTCCTCTACTGCGCAGAAAAACCTTGAATGTTGTGTTTGTGGCTTATGCATTTTGGTAGTTTATATTTGATGTTGCTTGGATTCAAACCACAGAAGACTAGAACCAGGAAACCAGAGATCTATTCTCATGCATTGTGTCTCTCAATGCAGAACTCTTCATAGGAAAAGTAGCAAAGGAAGATGATCTGTAAGGGCCTCAGCCTCTCTCTGTACTTCCCACAGTGTTTTACAATACTGTAAACTCCCCTGGTTTACACTTTCCCTGACATATCGTGGACAAATAGGAAAAATTAAATACATCTTATTTTTACAATTTTTCCAGTAAGAAGATCAGAAGTTAATTTATGAGCCCAAAAAGATTTGTTTAAATGCCCTATGTTGCAATTTATAGGAAGATCATAATCCTTTCCGATTTGCTGGCTGCTCATAATGCTTTCTCGTCTTTGAAATTCAGGATTAGGCACATTTTAAGAACGTAAAAGCTGTTTCAGAGTGTCAAGAGCAATCATTGATAAAACCTCCTTACTCTCTTGATCCAATCCAAATCCTAATTAATGAAGGCGCTTCAGTGCCTGAACAAAGACAGTTTATCCTACCTGGCTATATTT